GGAGATGAGACTAAAGAAGTTCTAACTTGGGAAATCGAGACTGTGATTCCTCTTGTATTACTACTACCCTATTCATATACTATTTCTCCCCGCCATGCCTGAGAACCTGTTCTATTTCTTAAAGAATGAAAGGAGATGGGTTTTGCTCAATGCCATATCTTGCCTTGCACTATTGAAGAATGAACATGGAAGCAAGAAAAAAAAATCTATCGATGGGTTCAAATATGTAACGTTGTCGTCATCGCTGGTGGAGAATCACCTGCGGCAGCGTGGTCCGACGAGAAAATGAGAGGAGGAAGGGAGAGTTTGAGAGGAAACCAAGGGAAAGGAATTAGAGAGAAGGGGACAGTAATGGAAACCAAGTTGTTTTTCTTTTAAAAACAAGAAATAATAAAAATGACTAGGATGACATGTAGATTAAAATTATATGAGCTGGCTCATTCCTATTGGGCAGAGTTTAAATTACATGGTATAGTACCTAAGAATTCCTTCTTTTTTTGTCCTTAAAAAAGCCGCTCTTCCCCAACAGCATCCTACCGACTCATATGAGTAACTAAGAAACGAAAAAATGGACCCAACTGGTCGGTTCAAACCGGAAACCGGTGAACTGATCAGTTGTCCGATCCGGTTAACCTCCTGAATCGGGAGAGGAACAACCTAGTGTAATCCGCATTAAACCAGGATAACCCCCTGGTTTAGCGGGTTAAACTAGCTCGTCGGAAAAAAATAAATAAATAAAGAAAGGAGAGGAGCAAGAAAAAGTGGGAGAGGAAAAAGAGGAGGAAGGAGGTTGGACTCGGATCTAAAGAAAGAAGGAGATGTAGGTACAGAGGAGGAAGAAAGACGGTTGTGCCTTAGCATCAAGAATGAGATTTCACTTCGATTTATTTCATCATCGTCGTTTCGGTAAGAGTCGACGAGATCTATGTAGGAGAAACCATGGAAGCTGCTAGAAGTTCAAGAATCAGGAGCACGTGGCTGAACGGGTCACTGGACTCACACTCAGTAAAAAAAGGATGAAAACCTCATCTCGCATGAAACTACGGTTCCCCATGGTTTGATCAATGAGGTTCTTTCATCTTTCTCTGAGCGAGTACATAGTCCAGCCTCAAGATTATCTAAAAAGCAAATGCGTTACCATTTAAAAACTTGTTCTTTATTTAAGAAACATTGTACCATTAACCAAAAGGCCGCTCGAAAGTTCAAGAGTTAAGGCAAAAAGAAAAACCTGTCAGTTTGGCGTGCAAGACACTCAAGCTACCAGGAGAGAGAATTTTGAAAAAAAAAAATAATTACTAAAAAGTCTTAATAACAATATCAACAATAAATCCTATAATGAGAATGACAACCTCTTAAACTTATTTTTTAATTGTTTTCCTTACTTGGGCCTCATTGTAATTCTCCCTAAAAAAACCACAAAGGATGGGTCAGGGGACAAAGAAAAGGGAAAGTGCAACAACAAAGTGCTACCCTGTAAAAGAAAGGAAAAAAATATTTTTTTCATATTTTAATTAAATTATATTATTTTGATTATTACTGATTTGGCTCGGATATGATGAACTAATTTTTGAACTACTATCTTAAACAGTTCAGTATTAGCTTAATCCGTTCAATATTCTGTCCATTTTGTTGTTTTTTGTGAGTAACACAACTTGCCTCAAAATTAATTAAATTTCCGTTCTAAGGTGAAACAATAAAATGTTATGTTTACATGTGCGAATCTGAACATTTTATTGAGAGAATTAAGTGTGTGTGATGTTAATGGAGGGTGAGAATTAAAGAAGATGGCAAGACAACTATAAGGGAGAAGAGGGGCTTTGCGCCAACATGCAGCCACAACGCACCCACATATATACTTTGTCATGCTTGTAAGAATAAAGCAGTTAAATTTGACCAATAAACTATTGGTTAAGGTGATAAGCAACATCACTTTCATAAGGAGAAGAATACAAGATCAAATTCTAAAAAACATACTTGTTGAAAAAATCGAAAACCCATTATACTCGAAGTCTCAAAAGTATAAAGGAAAAACCCTTGATCAAATAAAAAAAAGGTACTTAAATTTGCATTTGATTTTTTTTTCATTATATATATATATATATATATAGACACACATCTTTCAATTTTAATTTTGAAAGATTCTCCAATGTTTATAAAAGAAAACATCATGTTTGCATAGCATAGAAGCTCTTTTTGTTGGATTAGAAAGTTTGCTATAGCCTGATAGAATAACAAATGTATTCTGTTTATACATATATGTATTATACTACCTTCGGTTTTTAATATAAGATCTTGTTTGACTTTTATTTTGGCCCTAAATATAAAACCCCAATCTACTTTATCTCTTATATTTATTTATTTTTTCTCAAGGTAGTCTTTCTAACAATGGTAGTTCTAACCAATACACTTAATTAGCAAGGATATTTTAGGAAAAACAACATCTATTTATGACAAATAACTAACTCAACTTATTTTCTTAATTTTCTCAAATTAGTCAACTAGCTCTTATAATTAGGACCGGAGGTAGTATATCTTTACACTCATCAAAGTTATATATAGGAGATCCACACAAGCAGAAAATCACTAAATGAAGGGTGCGCTGGATTATATTAAACCTAAAAGAATATACTAGTTCCAACCTTAATATAAGAGTTAGATAACTAATTTAAATTATACTTAGAAAACTAGTAAAGTTAGTTATTTGTAACAAATATGCATTGACTTTTCTAAACTATGATATTTAATCATGTATATTAAAACTAGCCCTATGTGATAATTACTTACAATTAATAAGAATATTTTGGAAAAAAAAAACCAAGTTATAAATTCGAGAGACAAACTGAATAAAGGTCTTATATTTAAAATCAAATCTAACCTTCAACTAACTCTTTTATTAAGAATCAGAAGTAGTAATTCACATCCTTTTATTGTTTTTGAAACTGCTTATATATCTGTTTCTTGGAACTATAATGCACCCACTATGATTGTCTAAACTATTTTGGTATTAGAAGGAAACTCGTGATTCTGCACCTATTATTTCGTAGTTTGAAAGAGAATTCAAAATATTATATTGTCATTCCCCAAAGTAATATTGCATTAAACGTATTTATGCCAAGAAAAGAGTAGATATAAATTTACCCCAAAATTTTCACGTAAGCAATGGATATCAAAAAGTTTTTTTGGCTTCAATATAATGTTGCCCCAAAATCATTTTCCCCATAATCATCCAACATATTATAATTTTTATATAATGCGATTCTTTTATGGATCTTATATTATACTTTGTATGTGAAATATGGATTTATTGTTTAAGAGAATAAACGTTTTTGTAAGAAAATAGCAAAAGACTCAAATAAACATAAAACTTGAATGGTTGGATTGGTATTTTACATAAAACTCAAAAATAATAACTCATTAAGGATTTTCATATCCAATCTCCACATCCAAATTCTTTTCTTTAAAACCTTCTACATTCGTTAAATATTTTCTCATAATCTAGACAGTAATTAATGAAACGTAAAAAAGTATATTCATATTAAAATTTTAATGATATGAATTATAAATATGATAAGAAAATTTCTCTTCAACTTATAAAAAACATTAGCAGGGCGTCTAATTGAAGGCGTTGAGGCCATAATCCTATTATTTGGAGCTCAAACTTAAGATGAAATAGTCTAAAATTTTAATTTTAGTATCATAACATGACTATTCTTGTCTTGGCATGCATATTTTGCTGTCTTTGGCACTTCTTGTATTAGGCGCTGCGATAAATATATATTGCATCAATGTAGAAAGTAAAAATAAGGATTAATCGCTCCGAATCCTTCTCGATGATCTAGAGTTTTGTTGGACCCTCAGTCACATTTGCGATGTCTCTGGATAAATAGCAGCATTCGCAAGTGAAATGTCATGCAAGATGCTATTGTGATCTTAGTGCTTTCATTAAGGAAATTATTAATTAGGCTCTCAAATGGTGTTTTGTTATGAGTCTCGTATCAAGAAATTTCACAAGTGTTGTCTATACGTTGAGGGGCTTTCCCGTCCATCTGATGGAGGCGCTTTCATTTGAAAAAAACAAAGCAAGAAGATTCTATTTGATGAGCCTTGAATCGCTTAATTGTGCTCCAAAAAGGCCAATGGAACCTCATCAATAAGGTTTATTCATGCTAGTGCCAATAATTTTGAGATCATATTGAAGGTTTCTTTTCTATTGATCACCTGTTGTTGTCAATATGGTTTTGAAGTTTGATCCAAATATTACTTGTTTATATTTTTCTTCAATTAGTTCAACAAGAAGGTATAGGCAACTATGGATAATTACTAAAAAAGAAGAAAGGAATCCTATAAACAGTATTCTAACTGTCATTTAAAGACACAAACGAGTCATTTTAAAGTTTCAAATTATTTTATGGATTAAGACGGGTTAAGCCATCTTAACTTGATTAGTAAGTCGAGAACCAGATTTGACTAAAAAAATTAAAGTGAGTTTTTCAAAACCGATGTGAGATTTAAAGACCAATGTGGAAGGAGAATAGTAATTGAAGATGGCAAGCCTAGAGTAAACAATGACAATGAACAAATAGGTTTAATGGATTCAAAAGCTTTTTTATATGAAAAGCTTCATCATGCGCCAAAAATTTAACAAACATGAAGATTTTAAGGTGAAGAATAGAAGACTAAGAGGGATGATGCTTCATAAAACTTTTGATGTGTGATCAGACTTGACCCTCAAGGGAAGAGAAAAACTTCAGAAAATCCTACTGAAAGAAGAGGAAGAAACCAATGTTTCAATAAGGTAAAAAAGCAATTGGCATTAGTATTACTACGCAGGGATAATAGGAAGTTTTTCCCACCAACGCATCAGTAATTTATTTGATATTTTATTTATTATGCATGCATACATTATAGATGTATATAATTTTAACTTTCATTATTTATTGTGTCCCTAGATTGACCATCAATCTTAGTTGAGTCATAAGAATCATAACTTGCTGACCTTGTTTGGTTAAACATTCAGTCCAACTTGTAAAATATTGCCAATGAAATACTTCATGATGGAAACATACAAAAGAGGATTCAACTGTGAGACCCGCATGTACAAAGTTGGGGCCCACAAAGCTATTTTCTGTTGGTTTATTTTTCCACAAGGCAGCAACCATGCGGACAACTTTCTTGGCTTGAGATCTTTCCCAACAGTTATGTGAACAAAATGGTTAATCTGCAGATTTTTCAGCATTCAATGGATGCGGTCTTGGTATTTCTCTGCCGGCTTCGTCCCACTGAGGCGTATATTTGTAATCAAGGTCTGGTATAAAGGATACATTAAAATTAAGAATTCCAGTGATACCACTTGGGATCCATCTGCCATTCATGGAATCATTCAAGTGATTTGCGTTGCTTAGAATGCCATGCCCACGAGTAAACTGGTATGCTTGAGGAGGGCCAAAACATGACTTCATCCTCTATAAATACTGAACTATTCAACGCATCCAGTAGTTACAGACAAAACATTGAGTCAAGGTCTAACATTACATGGCTAACCTTTGGTGATGGCAAGAATTAACACGATCAAGTCATATATGACACCAGAATAAATCATAAGCTGTGGATGTCCCGTGTATCCCTACCTACTTGATCCTAGGTATTTTCATCAGAAAAATTTAAAAAAAAAAAAAAGGGGTTTATGTAGGCCTCGCTTCAAGAAGGAATACATGACACGAGAAATACAAGACAACAGATATTGATAATGACCTTATTGCCTAAAGTACAGTCAGCGATTAACAGTTATCCTAGGACTAGGCAGCAATTATTTCGGACTTTTAACCGCCTTGAGAATTCTTACTTGAGTGAGAACAGTGCTTTTGAGAATCTAACACAGGAAACCAGTGCGGGCTCACTCTTTCAGCGGGTAGAATTGAGGAGGAGTTCGTTGATATCTGCTGTCCTGGCATGGACTTCACATTGTAGTGAAACGAAATATCAGCCCTAGGTAAGCTGGGAGATCCAAAATCAGGCAACATTGGTCTAGCATCTTTCTGGCTATTAAAGTTGTTGGCAGGGTCCTGGAAACATCCCTGAAATGATAAATCTTCCTCTTCAGGTGGTGCACCTGTAAGAGTCTTAAATGCAAATTCTAGACAAGGATCGGACCACGAATCCATAAGTGAAGCAGAAAACTGCAATTCAGACTTATCCTCGTTTTCAATTCGAGTTTCAAATTGTGGTTGCTTTGCTGGAGCAAATTCTTGTCCAAGAACCTTGCCTATATTGTTAGATGACTCTAGAACTTTTGATGTACCTATATTTCTAGATTGATGCCCAAGATGAAATTCATTCCCAGCTCCAATATTCAGGGATGCTCTTTGATCCAAATTATTAGTTATTTTGGCTTCATAACCATAGCACTCTCTCGCAATAAATTTAGTATCATTTTCACAAGATGCAGAACTGGTTCTCAACTCAGGATGCGCAAGAAGGTCCTTCGAAGGCTGGCAAATTATTTCACAAGATGTAGAGTTGATCAACCAGTCAGGTTGACCCAGGAGTTGTTCTGAAGGCTGGCAAATCTCATCAATATCTACACGATTTTGTGATTGCTTCAAATCCCTAACTATCTCGCCATCATAACCATGAGATTCTATAGTACCAAATTTAGGAGCATTTTCACAGCATGTGGAGCTGATGAAAGACTCAGGTTGATCCAGTTGTTTTGAAAGCTGGCAAACCTTGTTAATATCTTCACTATTCTGTGATTGGTTCAAATCCCTGGTTATCTTGGCTTCATCACCATGAGATTCTGCAGTAACAAATTTGGGAGCATTTTCACAGCATGTGGAGCTGATAAACGACTCAGGTTGACTCAAGAGTTGTTTTGAAAACTGGCAAATCTTATTAATATCTTCACTATCCTGTAATTGGTTCAAATCCTTTGTTATCTTGGCATCATCACCATGAGATTCTACAGTAGCAAACTTATGAGCATTTTCACAGTATGTGGAGTAGAAAAACGACCCAGGTTGATCTGGGAGTTTTGAAAGCTGGCAAACCTTACTAATATCCTCACTATTCTGTGATTGGTTCAAATCCCTGGTTATCTTGGCATCATCACCATGAGATTCTACAGTAGTGAATTTAGGAGCATTTTCACAGGATGTGAAGCCAATAAATGACTCAGGTTGATCCAGGTGTTGTTTTGAAAGCTGGCAAACTTTATTACTATCTTCATTATTCTGTGATTGATTCATGTTATCATGAACTTCTTCATTAATGCATTTCTCTACCACACTCTCAAGCAATCCTGTATTTGGTGGGCAATTGAGATCAGGAGTCATGACCGGCAAAATTTCCTCGAAACCATCTACTGGCAATGGACCTGTGAGAGTCTTGATTGCAAATTCAAAGCATGGATCTGACCAAGAGTCCCCAAACGGTAAGGATGCCTCTGGCTCAGACCTCTCATTGACTTTTTCAGCTTCAACCTTCTGTAACTGTTCATTGGGAGCAATTTGAACTTCATTTGACTTATCACTCTTGTCTGGTGACGCTCCATGTACTCTTTTGGGACCAGTGGGAGCTTGAAGATCAAGCTGTGTCTCTTCCCCAACATCATCAATATGTTTCAATGCCCCATTGCCTGAAGTTGCTGCAGCAGTTAGCATGTCTTTGCATGATTTTTTGGAGGCATATTCAACAGCTCTATCAGCAGGTGCTAGTTCAGGTTCATGGCCAGCAAGGCGCTTAGATAACCTACGAGGAAAACCAGGCTCTTTCTTATTCTTGGATTTCTTGGGAGTGAGCTGTCGACTTTTATCACTGCAGACTTCAGTATCACTCTTGGACATATTAGTTTTATCATCTGTACCTGCTTCAGTAACCAAAACAAGCCCCTGACCTTCTGCAACATTATTAAACAATTTAATTTTATCAACCTCATCAACTTCAGGTACCAAAACAGGCCCCTGACCTTCTGTAACATTCTTAGACAATCTAGTTTTATCAGCTTCATCTATTTCAGGACCCAGAACAGGCCCCTCATCAACTGAATTCTCGACTGGTAATGCACCAGTGAGGGTCTTAATTGCAAATTCCACAGATGGATCAGACCAAGAATAGTGAAATGCAAAAGATAGTTGGGGTTCTGACTTCTCATCATCCAACAGTTTCTCTCCAAGCTTCTCCTGTTGTTCACAAGTTTTGGGTGGAATTTTAGAACTTTTGCTCCTCACCGATGACTCTCCAACTCTTGGCACATTAAGAGAGCTAGAAGCATATGCAGTCTTCTTAGCTGAAGCACCCTCAATTTGACGTGATTCTGCATTGGCCTCAACTTTGGACATTTTACCCTTGTATTCAAGAGGCCTGTCACATATCATGGGGTTGGTGATCTCAGGTTCAAACCCAGCTAGTCTTTTTGAAGCTCGGTGAGGAATGTGAACTTTCTGTTTACTGGATTTTTTTTCTTTCGCATCTAATTTTCCAGTCTCACCTGCATTCATTTAGTTTCTTTTGAGGGATAACTTTCAGAAGTTGAGCAAAACCAACATCAAGATTATCCAAAACTAGCAAGTCACCTGTAGTTTTTGTCGCACCATTCAAGCTTTGTGAGTTATAATCATTGGATAGAGAATTGTGATTTGATTGCTCCCTGGAATCTGCTTGGGCTTGAGAAATTCTGTTGCTTTTGTTTAGTAAGTCACGTGGTAGATCATGCATGTGCTCAATTTTTTGGACAACATTGAGCTGTTGAGAAGATACAATTGCTGAACCATCATCTAGAGTGGTTATATCTTTCCTCAAGCTTCTCTTTGGCACTGGAACAACCTGTTTGTTGACGACGATATTATGATCGGAAACCTGATCAGGTTCAACTCCAGCAAGTCGTCTTGAAAACCTGTGAGGCACATTCACCCCTTTCTTGTTGGATATACTCGGGCTTCTGTGATTCTTTTCATTAGTTTTCTTCAATGTACCTGAGACATGATTTTTTCCTTGCACATCAACTGTCAGGATAAGTCAAAGCTCAGCTTCAAAGGAATACCTTTGTTTTCTAATTTAGGATACAATTTTTTGAGTGGTGAGGTACCTGGATCAGATGTTTTGTTCATTTCTGGAGCGTTTGCAGCTGCATTCTCCAGTGAATGTATCTTCACAACAGTTTCAGTAGTGGACACCTTCACATTGTGCCCCTTTTCTAAACTGTTGGTGTCAGACAATTTTATGCTGTTTTTTTCAAATGCCTTTTTGCCTGAATAAAAATGAGATAAAATAATTTTAAAAAGAAAAAAAGGGATAAGCTTCAGTCGTAAAAGGCATATTCTTAGTTTAGATAAACTTACGACACAGTTGATCAATCAAGACCAATATCATCATCATAACGTACCTACAAAAAGCCGCCGTTTGGTTGCAGGCTGCTTTGATTTCTGTCTTTTAGCTGTAGACGATGGCTGGAGAGGACAAAGCAAAAAATGAATTTTAAATTATTCTTACTCAAATACCTACATGCACAGTTTACCTTTTTGTTCCAATTACGCGTAGGATTCATACAATACACTTGGATTTTAGACTACCAACGTCATCGAATGTGTAGAAGACATTTAGGTAAAATTGTAAACTTTTCTTTCTTTTTTTTTTTTTGGGCCAAAGTAAAATTGCATATTTTGAGGAACAAAAGATATGGCAGGCTGATACTAGGCATAAGGCAAAGTTGTCAACAAATGGAACAAACTTATATTCTTGAATTTGTTACTTTTAAGAAATCACCTACACAAACTTAATCTTTTTTCTACGCAATAAGAAAAAAGCACAAACTTAGAAGATTAGCATAAAGATCATCACTGAAAAATAGTATATGTTAGATTTAGAAGCTAAAATTCAATAAAATGCACCACTATGTTGACGCAGGTCAAAACTAATTTACAATCCTCAAAAGGCCTATTGCTGATGTGATTTAAGAGTGTCTCAAGATATAGCTGATATGACTGAATAATATTTCTCCCATTTTGTTATCACTATATCGTTAGGAATTTCAGTTGAAAACCCCTAGAAAAAGGATATGAATTTATTTAATAAAATTTATACTACTAACGCAGTGGTCATGTTAACGAGCAAAGAAAGCTTACAGTGGACTTGTCTTCATCCTCGATTTGTCTTTTTGTTGGTTTAAACAGACATTTAGTTATATCTCCGGACTCAATATAGCGCCATGCATCCTTCTTGGAACGGAATACATAACCATTAACTGGATCTGTATAGTACTGTAGAAATTGCAAACCAATTAGAATTTACTTACACATTAAACATACCAGAAACTGTGAATACAGCATACCAGGTTTGGGATGGGTGAAAAACATAAACAATGCCACACTTTAAATCAAATTTCATACCGGGTCTTTCTTAATGCCACTGCCATTCTTCCTAATCTTGACTTCTTTTGTCCACCCAGCGGGTAAATCATCTACTGTAGACTTCTCAATTGCAACCTAAAGCATTTTAAAATTACTTAAAACAAAACTACATACTGAATTTAAGAAAGTGAACATCTGGCAATGCTAAACAGACTACACAGTATGTTCATTCAATAATCAATATCATGAAAAAGGGGGGAAACGATTAAACATCAAAAGAAATTTCATACGGGGTCTTTTGTAACTATCTCAGCTTCTTTTATACAACCAGGTTGTAAAACATCCATTGCAGAATTCTCAAGCACAACCTAAATTACCCAAAACTATAATAAATACATACTAAAAACCAATTTATCAAAAAAAAATTCTATTAATATTCAACAAAATAGGTAAAGCTTTATTCGGCAATCAATACTAAAGATGTCAAGTTAGGACATTAACAGAAAGATCATCAAATCATCCTGAAAACTAGTAGCTGCTAGATAGAGAAACTAAAATTAGAAGCATCCATTATTTTGAAGACAGATCAGAATTAACTTCTTTTCTCGTGCAAGCATAAGTTGTTTGAAAAGCCTCAAGATGGTGCCGATGCAATAGAATTATTCTTTTTCCCTCTTTTTGATCACTTATTCGTTATGTGTAAGGGATATGGGTTAGAATAATCAATAAAAGGAATAATAATCACACTATCCCTATCAATCAATAAATAAGGCTTACGGTGGAGATGTCTTCATCTAGGATTTGCCTTTTATTTGCTTTAAACAGACATGTGCTTATATCTCCTGACTCAGCATAGCACAATCGAGCCATCTTGGAATGATATTCATTCACTGGATCTGTATAGCACTGTGCGAATTACAAACCAATCAGAAGTTCAGGATTCATTGGGATACGAGGTTCTGTAAATGCACTGGCTCACACTATATTCCAAAATGAAGAAATTGCATGCAAAGCACCTCTCAAGAGAGGGAAAAGAAAGCAACAATGCCCAAGTATTCATAATTATTACATGTTACATTCAAGTTCCTTTTGATTTTATGAAGCAGGGGAGAAAATATCACAAGTTTCAAGCATGAAGTCAAATTCCATACTGGCTCTTTCCTAATGCCATTGCTGCTTTTGCTAATCTTGACTTCCTTTGTCTGCCCAGTTGGAAAATCAGCCATCACAGACTCGTCACTTGCAACCTAAACATACCAAAAACTGTCAACAAGATTACATACTGAGCAAATTCTTAAAAAGAAAACTACAAGTAATATTTAATGAAATAGATAGACAGATAGATGCTGATTCAATAATCAAAATTAAGGGAAAAAATCAAATTCCATAATTTGGATAGATCTACAGCTGCCTAGCCAATTAGAGAGGCGGGGAGGGGTAGCAGTAAAACATAAACAGTTTCAAGCATCAAAATTGATGACATTGTTCTTCTTCCCAAATCTTGACTTCTTTTGTTGACCCAGGCAGTGAATTGTCAACAATAGACTTCTCAACAGCAACCTAAAGCTCACCAAAACTATAAAAAGCCTACATACTAGGAAATGTAAAAGTTTTTTTTTTTTTTTTAATAAACAAGAAAGCAATAAATACTATTCTACATTAGAAGGAGTAAATAAACGAAACTCATCTAAAGGAACTAAATGAACTCCAAGAGGCAACGCTAAAGAACGCTTAGCTGTCATATCAACTTCAGAGTTCTTTTCCTGTTGAACATGCTAAAGATTCACGAACCAATCATGTTGAAGCATTGCATGGCTTTCTAGAATCAAATTCCAGTTATCATGAAGATCATTATTTCGATCCTTGATCAACTTAATTGCATCCAAAGAATCATTTCTCAAACAAACCTGTCTATGATTCCCATCCCATGCCCTTTCAAGACCAATAAGACATGTCCAAAGTTCCATTGTTAAAGGATCTCCATTTTGTATATTAAGCATAAAAACTTCAATTGGATCTTTCATAACACCCCCACATCCCGTCGTGCCATTTGTATGAGAGTAAGCTCCATCAACATTGATAAACACCTACCCTTCCCTCTCTATCCGAGTATGGCTCTCATTCATCACTATAATACCGCTGATTTTGACTTGATTCATTTGAATCTTAGCTGCGCTAAGGAGGTTTTTGGATTAGCTTTTTAGAAGGGATTTTATGAATTCCGAGATAAATATGTGAGAGAAGTTTAGTCTCAACTTATATGAAAGCAACTTTTTTAAGTGCTTTTTGGTGTTTCCAAACACCCCCTAAAGTTAGATAAAATGGCTTTAGCCTGTGGTAGAAGTCCAAGAACAGTAGAGTTGAGATTCTCAAAAACTTCCTCATTGCGACGTTTCCAAATAAGCCAACAAACAATGACAAAGAACTCTTTCCATGGTCCATCACATTGCCCCACTTTTTCATTGAGATTCATACAACACCAAGTCCAACTAAAGAATCTCCTATGCAGATTTGGTTTAACAATTGAAATAGCCTCCTATAATTGGTGTAGTTATGACATTGAGGATTCCTTATATGTTTTCTGGGTCTATGCAAAGATTATAACTTCTAGTAATTTTCAATGGATGGAATACCTAGAAGTTCATTTAATAATCAATAAGAAAAAATTTTATGGATTTGCAGAAACCTAGCTAACTAGTCTTACAAAAAGGCCTTTCCTTAAAGAAGCAGATTCATAAAATGTTTCAAAGTACATTTGGATAAAAATATCAACTATTGATTATTACACAAGATTTCTCCTTCCAATGATGTTACCAAGATTTTCTGTTGTTACCAATTACTAGGGATAAAATCCATAATTGTCCAGCCACTTTGCTTGTTATATAGCTATTGAAGAATAGAGTAGGAGGAAGATATCGAGAGACTACACAGACTTGTGTATTATTGATAGAGAGTCCAGGTTTTATACAGAACACTAGGCTCTTCTCAGGATCACAAGAGAAATCAATTACAATAATTAGAAATTAATGTCGTGAGAGAGAATCAGATTTGCCCGTGATTTGTGGTTATAGATCTATGAACTAAATAAGGTAAACTAAAAGATATGATAATAAAGGTTAAGAGAAGATTTGGGCTATAATTTCTAACACTCCCTCTCAAGCTAGAGTATAGAAGCTAGCATTCCCAACTTGCCTCGAAAGGGCTCAGAGCCCTTTGAACTGTAATCTACCAAGAGGTTTGGTCATCATGTTTGCAATCTAGTTTGATGAGCAAATGTAGGATAGTTCCATTAAGCCTTCTTCCACTTTCTCTTTGATAAAATGCCTATCAATTTCCACGTGCTTAGTCCTATCGTGATAGACGGGATTTTTGGTCATTTTAATGCTAGATTTATTGTCACACCACAAGTGCACAATTTTAAGCTCTTCCGAGTCTGATAATCCAAATTCCTTCACAGACACCTAGTGCTACTGCTCTTAGCTCTGCTTCAGCACTGCTTCGAGACACAATAGTTTGTTTCTTGCTTCTCCACGGAACCAAATTTCCCCAGATGTGGTGGTAGATCTCCTATTCTCCACGAATCTTCCATGATCTGCACTGATATAAATCTCTATACCCCTTGTTCTGTTTTTGGCAAAGAAAATGCCTTTCTTGGGGTTGAATTTGAAGCATCTTAGGATTTGGAGTACTACTTCCATATGTTCTTTTTGAGGGTGGTGTATGAATTGACTAATAATCCCGACTGCATAGCTAATGTCTGGTCAAGTATGGGTCAAGTATATCAATTTTCCCACAAGTCTTTTGCATTTTTCTGAGTTCACAGGAGTTCCTTCTGGTTTAATTTCCAAATTACATGTTTCCATGGGTATCTCATCTGGTTTAGCCCTAAGGAGTCTAGTTTCTTATAAGAGATCTAGAGTGTACTTTCGTTGCGACAAATTAATTCCATTTTTTGTTCTTGCCACCTTCACCCAAAGAAATATCTCATTTGCCTAAGGTCTCTGTCTTGAAACTCCCAAGCTAGTGCCTTCTTTAGCTGGGTTATAAAGCTCTCATCCTTCTCGTTGATCACAATGCCGTTAACATATACAATGAGAATAGTGACCTTCCTGCTATTATGTCGTGTGAACATCGTACGGTTAGCTTGACCCTGTGAGTAGCCATTTTTCTTTAGAGCTTTGGCAAATCTGTCGAACCACCCTTTAGGTGATTGTTTTGAGTCCATACAGGGACTTCTTTAGCTTGCATGCCTTAGTGGCATTATCTAGTTTCTATACTACATCCAGAATTTCCACGTACGCTTCTTCTAAGTCACCATTTAAGAATACATTTTTCACCTCTAATTGGCTTAGGGGCCAATCCAGATTAGCTACTATTCAAATTATGGCATTAAGACCGTTTAGATCCACCACAACTTGTTGGAAGATCTCTAGTCTTTATCTGTAAACTGCTAATCACAAAGCTTTGCATTCTAGAAGAAAGATTAGCAGAAGAAACATATTTTTGTATAGGGTGTTGGGTGCAAGACCTTGCCCCTTTTCTGAGAGCAATAGGCCAACCTAATTTTTCAAGGTCTGTCGTCGAGTTGGAATTATGGTTGTGCCTTAGAGTGGGTGAGACTCTATTTTCAGCACTTTCTTCTATATTTTGTTCTTAATTCTGTCTGTTCTCGGCATTGTTTTCCCTTTGAAGAGTGTTTCTATGCTGGTTATGTCAGGTTCACATGTTCTAGGTTTGTTGGATTAGTTGACAAGTGCATTTTCATGTGTTTCAAGTGCTTCTGTTCAGCTAGGAGTATCTTTAGATCTGGTAGGTGTCATTTCAGGAGTTTCAAATCTGGTATCAGTGTTTTCAAGTGTACTTACAGCCTGGCAGTGTTTTTAGATGTATTTACAGGCCTGACAGGCTCATCTTCAGGTCTGATTTGCAGGTTTTCCAGTGTGCATTCTTGTATATTGTTGTTTGAGGCCTGAATTAGCCATTCTACAGCACCATCTAGTCCTCCCCTTGAATGGGTAATTTAGGATAATTGGCATCTTCCTCATAAAAGACAACATCTTTGGAGATGTGGAGCTGGTAATAGGATAGTAGCACTTATACCCTTTTTGGGTAGAGAAGTATCCTAGAAAAATACACTTTTCAGCTCTTAGACTTGGTTTTCCTTCATTGTTGTCGTAGACAAATGCCACACAACCAAAGACCTTTTGTGGCAGGTTGTCAATGGAGGGTATGTGAGGCTAAGTTTCAAAAAGGTTCTGGATAGAAGAGGTATAATTAAGAGCTTTAGAGGGCATTCAATTTATGAGGTAAGTTGTCAGAATAGCTTCCCCCCATAAAATATTTGGATCATTTTTGTCCAACATAATGGCCCTCATTACCTCTAAGAGATGTTAGTTTTTCATTTCAGCCGCCCCATTTTGTTTAGGAGTGTATACATAGGAAGTCTGGTGATAAATTCCCTGCTGCTCAAGAAATTCTGTGAAAGATTTGCTCATGTATTCTCGGGCATTATCACTTCCAAGCACTTTAATAGTTGTTTGGAACTAATTCTTAACAAGTGTATGGAATTTCTTAAAGATTTCAAAGACTTCTTATTTTTCTTTTAGTAAATAAACCCATGTTGCCCTTGTATGGTCATCAATGAAAGTGACAAACCATCTAGCATTTGAAAGAGTCTTAGTTTTAGCCAGTCCCCACATATCACTATGAACTAGAGTAAATGAAGTTAATTTATAAGTCTGTTTGGGGTAAATAGCCTTTATTTGTTTTGTAAATGAGCAAGTGTCACAATGAAAGAGAGTATAATTTTTATTAAATAAGTTTGGAAACAAATGTTTCATATAATTGAAACTATGATGTCCTAATCTTTGATGCCATAACCTGATATCTTTATTTGGGGAAATCAAGCTAACCATAGCTTTTCTCGTTGAGTTTTTCATACCCTTGAAATAATAGAGTCCATACCACTCCTTAGGTATGCCAATCTTCCTCCTCAAATCCTAAATCACACATTTATCATCATCAAAAAAGACTAGGCATTTCTGTCATTTGGTTAGTTTGCTAACAGAAATTAAATTGCAAGTGAGTTCAGGTACATAAAGCACATTATGAATCACTAATTGATCAGATAACTCAACAAACCCAATTCCACACACGAGTATAAATTCCATTTGCTACCTTGACCTTAAGATCTTCATGACAGTAGTTGAGGATTTTAAACAAACCTTTATTACTAGTCATATGATCAATAGCACCAGAGTCAATAATCCAGACATCATCACTAATTTCCATAGCATTAAGGGCAATTATGGAGTTACCTGATTTCACAAAATTTATGTTAGGTATACTAGTTTGTTTCTCGAGTATTCGACGTAAGAGTTTCAACTCCTCTTTACAAAGGGTGTCTCCATCTTCTTCCCTGCTTTCTGCATGGTAACTTTTCTTGGCTGTTTGCTGTTTCCCTTTCTGGTTTGGTGGTTTACCATGCAATTTCCAGTAGATATCTTTGGTGTGCCCTTTTTTATTACAATGGTCATACCACCTTTCATTCTTCTTGCTGG